GGACAGCCCAATCAGCACACACCACCTGTCTTGCAACATCCAATTACACTTCATCACATGCACACACTGAGAGTAGAAGACAGAACATATGAAAGATCAGTGCAGATCAATACAAGCATAGCAATACCAAAAAATAATGGCCTGGCTCATAACACTCTATCACATACTATACTATGACCTTGTTTATGAAAGTGTTGACCTACCATACTACGACTGAAATTTTCATATAGTACTATGATTTTTATAGGAAATGTCTATGAGATACTATACTCTGAGTTTTCATAGATTTTTTTTCATGTGTTTGTAATCTGACTGAAAGCATCTAAAAAGTGACACTAAATCAAAACTACATTAACTTTTTTAATGACGGCAGGTAAATTAAAACACTCAGACTGTAGCTATTTGAAACCGTTTTGAACATGTCTGTTTGCTATCTTTTAAAAGTGAAAGTCCTTATTGACATCTTATAGATGTGGTCTGAAAGATAACTGTGAAAAACAATCAGATAATTCTATCAATGGTTATCAAATACTTCAGGGAAGGGTTCCCAGCGTTCCTTATAAATGTTCAACATTTAAAGGAAAAAACCCTTAAAAGGTGTCTGTTACAGGAAATAAAAATAAAATACTAAATGCATCATTTTTGGGTTAATCCAGATGTATTTTGCACCACATGTAGTGAAGACTGGATTAAGTCTGTCGGAGGAAACTACAAAAATGGGGTAAACTCTGAGGAGTGTTGTCCAAAACAGACTATTTGAGCCAAAAAGCAAAGTGGCCATTTGGCGACGCACCAAATTTTCTCAAATATTTAGCCAACATCCTCCTAACACACTTCTAATTGGACCAGGAGATTATTTGGTGTAACTTTGTGTACTGATCTGACTGGATTATGAAACCTTTAAAATATTGACCTCGAGTTCTCAATGAAACAAACAGAAACCGTCAGAAATTGTTTTCCTATTTAGTTTGTATTAAAGTAAATATCAGTGACATGACAGACATTAATGAAGCTAAATAAGGGCTGAATGAGATGTTTCTGTGATGAAGTCTGTTGATAAAGAAAACAAACCTAAAAGATTTATGGCAAACATAACCAAGAGCATCATCTCTGGTTTAAATATTTAACACATTTATTTGATTGTTTTTTTTAATACATAAAATCCCACTTTGTGTGCTTACTGAAAGACAGAGTGAAACATGGAGGAGCCATTTAATCCAGTTAGCAGACCCACAGACTTTTGTCTCATCATATAAATATAGTTCACATGAACAGATATCTACTGAATGAATAAAGCTCATCAGTCCTTCCCTGAGCCTCAGTGAGTTCCTGCTGCCCTCCAGTGGTTTAAGAGCTCACCTACAAACACTAGACACATGAGTGACCCCGGTCAAATCTATGACCTGCAGAGGATTTGATGTTTATTCAAACTGCTCTTTTTAGGTTGTGAGTATCAAACGACGAACATGAATGTGCTTGACTGTATTTGTATCTTATGCCCAGGTCACTCTACAAAATTTTAAGCCATGATTTTCTGGTTGCCCCCCCAAACAAAGCACCCAGACGTCCCTCAAGCAATGCTCTCCAGCTCCTCCTAGCGTTCCCAGGCCTGACGAGATATGTAATCCCTTCATCATGTTCTGGGTCTGCGATGGGGCCTCCTACCATTCGGAAGTGCCCAGAACACCTCTAATGGGAGGCACTCAGGAGGATCCTGATCAGATGCCCGAACCACTTCAACTGCCCCCTTTCAATATGAAGGAGCAGCGGCTCAGCTGTTTTTGTTTTCAGTTTCCACAGTAAAAGTTGTGGATGGTCCCAACAGAAGCGTTCCTTAGCGTCCCCATGTTTGGTCCCCCCTCTGTTGGGGTACCTAGCACACAGATCTGGTACTAAAAGGTGGAGCTGTGAACACTGCAGTCTGATTGGTCAGTAGAGGACGATCACTCTGGTTTTATGTAACCTCTGTTCATACATCAGTAAACTACAACTATAAAATGAAAGAGAAAAAAATAACTTCATTCACTGGGCCGACTGCCGGCAACTTTTAAGGTGGAACGTTAACTTGTAATGTTACTCAATGCATGAGTTGATGACGTGAATCCATCAGCACACCTTAAATTTCACTGTGACAACTTTGACCATCACTTTAGTTTTTATATGACACACACTTTTAGTAATGACTTTAAAAATATAGATTAATTTGGAGCGGATTATGTGAAGGTCATATATTCTAATCCTCACTTCCTGTGGGCTACAGCAACACTAAACCCCTGAGCTTGCCTGAGAAGGACTAAATGCACAAAGCTGCTATTTTTAAATATCCCATGGAGAGAGACTCTCACTGCAGCCTGTTCTATTTTGTTGTGAAAATGTGGGCGTGCAGCCTCGTTCTGTGGACGATAAACCAGGTGCAGACTTCCATCTGTGTCACCGCTGATGAGGAAATACAGCGAGTGCTGGACGGAGCAGTGAGTGACAACAACCCCGCCCACATTTAAGAGGACTGTCTGAACACACCGAGGGTCTAGGTACCATGTCTGAAGGCTTACTGATGGTTCCAAAGGGACTGGACTGAAAGGGTTTGGTGGAAACCGGGCTTAAGGTTGAGCCCAGACACCCCAATGAGGAAACGCATTTCGGCCGCTTGTATCCATGACCTCATTCTTTCAGTCACTACCCAGAGCTCATGACCATAGGTGAGGGTTGGGACATAGATGGACCAGTAAATCCAAAGCTTCGCCTTCTGGCTCAGCTCCCTCTTCACCATGACGGTCCAGCGCAGTGCCCCCATCACTGCAGATGCCGCACCGAATCATCAATCCATCTTACGCTCCATTCTACCCTCACTTATGAACAAGACCCCGAGATACTTCAACTCCTTCTCTTGAGGCAGTAACTCTCCCCCAACATGGAGGGGGGCAAATCTGAGGAGGGGGGCCTAAGAGTTTGGAGGTGATGACTCTCATCCCGACCGCTTCACACTTGGCTGCAAACTGCCCCAAATGAAGATCCTCTAGTACAACAGCAGTGTCAAATCTGTTCTGCTGTACAGTTCAGAGTTGGCGAGTGGTCAGAACAGACACGATGAGAGTGGAAGCCTTCACAACCGATGCCTCAGACGAATACGCCAGATCCTCTGGCCAAACAAAAATCTCCAACCTTCATCTGTACAAGAAAACAGGCAGCCAGAGCAACACCAAGGAAATCAGTCACAGGCACGTGAGATGGAACAGGGCTGGATCCCGAGGGTCGCCTTGAGATGGACACCACCAAGCAAAAGAAAACCTGGAGGACCTAAAACCAGTGTTGGGCTCATTACTCTAAAAATGTAATATATAATACTCATTACTCTTTTCAAAAGTAATAATATTACTTTACTCCCTGACAACAGTAATTCCTTACGCTACTCGTTATATTACTTCTCCGTTACACGCTATAAAATTTGTAATTGCGTATCTCCCCAAACTTCAGCTGTGTCTCTGTGTCAATGTCAGGGTGATCACCGGTAAGTGTTACTAAGGTTTGATAGCTTCTGTTAACCTGGGGGGTTTCTGTTGCCTGTGAGCGGTGTTTTCCCAAAGATCTGCCCAAAAGATGGAGAGTCAGTCATGCAGCAACATTTCATCCACCACATATCCAACCACAAGCTTCATCACTTCTCTGTGTCTGCAGCTGTCCCAAGATTAAAATCCAGTTTTGGTTGTTTAGCCAGTGCAGAGCTACAGCCGACCTCCATGGCCGAGGTGGGCTCATCTTTGGTGGGGTGTATTTCCTGGAGCTTTATGTTTGTTGTGTTGTCAGTCGTAGTTGCCGAGGTGTTTCAGACCAGAGGTTTGGGGACGTGTGTTTCGCAGTGGAAAGAGTTTTAGTCCGACCACCTGCAGCAATACACATCCCAGCCACCACCTGTTCGAACCTCTGGTAGGTGTTATACGTCCATCACATCCAGAACCACCAGATTCACAAACAGCTTCTTCCCAAATGCAGTAATTTCACGGCTGCCTCTTGCACCTCAACACCTGCACTTCATTTCATTATTGCTCATTTATTGTTAATGTTTAATTTATGTTTCCTTTTTTCCATGTTGTATTTATTGTTTGCACCATGGTGGAGTAGCGCTCCTGATTTTGTTGTATTGTACAATGACAATAAAGGCATTCAAAGTTCAACAGTGTTCTTGTCATCTTTCCTCCCGACAAAATCAAATAGACGGGAATATTTCCAGCGGCTAAGGTTAGTGTTCCCAACTAGCTTGTTGCTTTGTGACGTGGAGCGCGACGATTACTAAAATGAGTCTGCTGATGTGACTGTTGTATTTCAAGTCAGTGGTGATGTGATAACAAAAGTGTACCGAGTTTTTTAACGAGTATTACTGAAGTTTCATTTGTAATCAGTTACACTACTCGCACTACACTACTAGTTACTCACCAGACCTTCCTCAAGAAAAGAGAGGTCTTGCTGGGCCGACTCTCACTTTAAGATTGGAGAACAAAACGCCCCGGCTGCTTGTATTTCTTTCAACCAATCACAATCGTTCTTGGCGGTGCCACAGCAACGGGGCGCTTGCAAAAATATTGCCGGGGGGGAAACAGGTTTTGGTGTAACACACCCACAAAAATATCACCTACAGGACGCGAACCATGGCAGAAAAATGGCTACATCCCCGCAAGATCAAACACTGCAAAAGTTAGTAAAGGATGTGTTGAAAACTGCTACACAACCGGAGGTGGTAGGGCGGGACTTCAGCGGGTGGCTCGTTCCGCCCAATGAGAGGCTGATCTATGCAGCGAACTTCCACCCACTCAGACTACACTACTCATTACTGGAAAAAGTAATATTATTACTGTAACGCGTTCCTGCCTAAAACCACCTGATGCAGAACTGTGACGCAGAGTTGGAAAAGATGAACGTGTCATGTGTAGAGAGGCTCATTGAAGCCTGATGTTCAGCAGGTGATGAAGAGGAGTAACTCAGTGTTTGAAATGACTGGAAATGACTAAATGATAATATTATAGTTTATTACACATTAATGGTTGAAGTGTTTCCACCTGAATCCTCCAACTCAAACTGTTCAGTCTGACTGAAGACTTTCAAACTGACGCTAAGAGAAATCATTCACAAATAAAAAGTGTCATTTATTTATTAAATGTTTGTTTATAAGTGCACCTGCAGGTTTCCCTCCTGAAGGAAGTCCACGAGGACAGATTGCCGTGCGTTACTCTGAGCGGTGATTTGCTCCGTGTGTGTGTGCGGTTCACTTCCTGTCAAACAACATCTCCAGTGTGAGCGTCATTATGAAGTTAATCCACCTCTCAGTATGACTCTGTGTGTCAACAGTCTGACACAGAGGTTCAGTTCAGTTCTGGAAGCTTCTGCTCTGTCTCCAAGGTTCAGGGTCAGGACCAGCGGACCAACACCTGGTCTCCGTCCTCTATGGAGTAAAACTGGAGAGTCTTCAGGTCGCTGTCGATCTCAAACTCTGTCCCCACCATCTGCAAAGAAAGGATGAAACAAAGTCTCAGGAGCAGACTCTCTGTGAACTTTACATTTTCTGCTTCGGTGTACTGAATGACCACACACGTCTGTACGGAGGACCAGTGATGACGAGTGTCACAGAAAATTGTGATGAATGTGATTTATTAATCAATAACTAACCGTACAATAACAAACAGACATTCATAAATGTTTACAAATTAATTTACAAATCTGTAAACAGGGTCTAAAATGAACACCAAGCCTAGCGTCAGAGTGTCTACTAGGGATGTTCCTGTCGACTGAACTAAAATTTTAATCTAAGACTAGTCGACGAGTCTAAAAAAGGAAAACACTCAGAAAACAGTCAAAATTTAGCACAATTTATTGTTAAGTATTTGAAACATCCCAAAAAATACTGTGTGCATTCAGAGCCTGTTGAAGCCTTTAATCACAATCTTCAACAGCCATGTTGGATTTTAAATGCCGCTGAAGTACGAGACACTTTGCTCCGTGCAGTATGATTGTGAACATGACGGCAACTCAGTCAAAAGTTAACCATTAAAATAACATCTAAAATAAATAAACTGCCTCTGAAATGTGGGGCACATTGAACCTTGCAGATTATCTGACAGAAATTATCAGTTCACTTTAAAGTTAATAAAACATGTAAATTATAATTAAGAGGCATGTTGCTGTGTGCAGTATGAATGTAAACCTGCTCATCATCTGACAACAACTCACTTAAAGTTAACAAATAATATGACGTCTCAAAAAAGATTCATTGCTGCTGAATTCATTTTCTAGATCAAAGTGCTGCCAAACAACGCTGGTTTATGAGAGGACATCTCTCCAGTTTAAAACTCCAGTCTACTGGAGGATTACCACAGGGAGGGGGACTGCTGTCTGACCGCTCTGTAGCACCCACTAGTGGCGGGCGGCTGCATGACAGTTAAGCGGCCTTGTACAACACTAAGGTAAAACACTACACTAAAACACTAACATATACACTGCAAGCGATGTGTTAGCGTAGCGCTCGCAAATGGCCGCTGTTTACTTGCATTTTAATTTCGGCGAGCATGTTAACAGGTTAGAGCTTTCACACCGCATCTGTTCTAGGCGCTGCTCGAGTCGCACTGCTTTCGCAAGCAAGCTCAAAAATAGAAGAGATGGCAATTTTTTGCGCGAGTCTTGTGCGAATGGTCGCGGTACTCAACAAAAAACACGAGTTTGCGTGTGTTGTGACCTCTCTCGGCCACCGTAGACATCTCCCCCTTGACCAAGCGAGACCTGACAGGCACATGTTTCATGTACTTATACACAAATACACGTGAGCTGCCGCTAGCCTTGTGGACAGCTTTGCGAGCGCTACGCGCACACATCACTTGCAGTGTAAATAAGGCCTAATGGGTTTAACAGACTAATATTTCTGGAGCCGAATTTGACCAAATGTGGTTTAATTTTCAACATAGTCTCCCCGTGTTTACATGTTTTCTTGTGGTGTCCTTTCTAAAATGAGCAGTTTCTATATTCTGTTCTGATCAAGGAGTTAATAAACAGACAGCGTTAGCTAGCTAGCTAAAAAGTTGTCTGTTACTTCCACATTAAACTATATTATATGTGGACGTCTCCACAAATATTAACCAGGGACAATGAGACAAATCCATGTGTTTTTTACATTTCCTCATGATGAATTATCTGTCAGCATGTCAGTAATTCAGTTCATGTAAACCAAACACACTCTCCTCTACTGAGCGTCCAGCAGCCGTTATATCCTGAATATTGAGATTATAATTAACTGGAGACATAACTTTACTCTCTACTACGGCGTCCTCTGCGATGGTTTTTAATAAAAATAAAGGTTATCTTATTCTGTGTTCCTGTTCTGACATCAAACTGCACAAGAAGATATTTTTATTCCGGGTATGTTGACTGTGTCTCTCTGATGTCCGCTGTTTCTCTGCCACCAGTACGTGCACTGCTGCAACTGCTGTGACGTAACTGTGACGTCCACTCAGAATCAGCCTATAGGAGCCAAGCTGTCTTACCTTGGGACTGGTGTAGGTGAGCTTCAGATCAGCTGCAGGAACCTTCAGCAGTCTGTACAGGAGTCCCTTCACCTTCTGGACGACCATGGAGGCTGCACAACAAACACACGCTGTTTAAACTGGATCTTATTTCATGCTTTTTCTAAACTAAAGTGTCACATACACATAAATGAGCCGCGACAGGAAACACACAGTTCAACTCTTTCCTGCTGTTTTACCTGGAAGTTTCTTCTCAATCGGCTCCCGGTCTGCGTCGTCAGGAAACACAAACCTAATCTCTGGTGAGGAGAGACGAAGGAGAGATCAGTGGTTTAAACCTCAGTATGTTTGTTCATGGCCTGTCATGTAACAGCCAATCAGAGGGCAGAGAGAAGAAAGGGGTGGGACTAACTTAAAAGCTGATTTTTCAGGGCAAACGGCTCCGGCTTCTTCAGCTCGCCTTCCTCTGGAGCTCCGTACTCTGAAAGACAAGATCATCTTCACTTAAAGATCACTGAAGGAGACATCTGAATAACAATAATAACAATAACAATAGTAATAATAATAAAGTGTATTAATCTGAAGACTTTAAACAGTTAATTGTGTGTAAAATGAGTGTTTCATAAAGTCCTAACACTTCTTGTTCTCTACTGTTCAACAAAAATATGAGACGGAGCAGCGCATGAATAAATCAAATAAAGAAACAGTTTGTCATCATCGTGTTGTCGAGGTGACGTACTGTCGATGAGGCTCAGGTAACGAGGGTGCTGACAGGTGAACTGGGTGCTGAGCTGACTCCGCCCCCCTGCCTTCAGCCACTCCTCTCCAAACATCTTGATGTAGTCCAGCTCCGCCCCCCTCCTGTCCTCGGGCTGGATCTGATGGAAACCATGGCAACGGATTAGCATGGCCACACACACACACACACACACACACACACACACACACACACACACACACACAGATGTTGAGCTCACCTCATGGCTGTTGAGGACGACCAGTTGTCCCAGTTTGGCGATGAGCAGCTGATTGGCTGTTCTGGGGTTTCCATCGCTGCTCACCAGTCGGTTACCGCGACACGATAAGTTGACCAAACTGGGGAGCTTCGCCAGCTCGTCCACCACCCACCACTGAGACAGAGACAGAGAGACTTTCATACATGGGAAGTCTCGGGTTCTGACATTCGTGTGGATGCCACCAGACACGCTCCACCCACTTAAACACCAGTGCAGACCAGGCACCCCCCATTATGGCCACAGCACTCCCCAGCAGGACAATGCTCCATGCCACACCACAAAAACTGCTTAGGAATGGTCCGAGGAACGTGGCCTCCAAATTCCCCAGATCCCAGTCTGATCAAACATCTGTTGGACGTGCTGGTACCTCACAACCCACAGGACCCAAAAGGCACTGCCATCGATAAGTGCCGACGCCATGAGGGGGTTTACTTTGTCTGCAACGGTGTTCGGGTGGGTGGAGCATGTCAAGGAGCATCCACATGAATGCGAGGACCAAAGGTCTCCCAACAGAACATTGTAACAAGATGATCAACGTCGTTCACTTCACCTGTCAGTGGTTTCAATGTTTTGGCTGATCTGTGTGTGTGTGTGTGTGTGTGTGTGTGTGTGTGTGTGTAAATTAAAATAATTAAGAAACAGCTATCCAGTCTCCAGTCTTAAACGTTTGTCTGTTAAACAGCTGACTGAGTGTTGTTGAGTCGACGATTGTGTTTGTATGAGAGCAGAAACACACACTGACCTCAGTGATGTTGTTGTGGTCCAGCTTGAGATCCTTCAGTGCCGGAAACATGGCTGTCTGAGACCCTACAGAGGAAACACTCAGTAATTATCATTCATTCATTTTCTGTATCCACGTATCCTGTTGAGGGTCACAGGGGCTGGAGCCTATCCCAGCTGACACTGGGTGAGAGGCAGGGTTCACCCTGGACAGGTCTCCAGACTATCACAGGGCTGACACATAGAGACAGACAACCATTCACACTCACATTCACACCTACGGACAATTTAGAGTCACCAATTAACCTGCATGTCTTTGTACTGTGGGAGGAAGCTGGAGCACCTGGAGGAAACCCAGCTCAAACCAGGAACCCTCTGTGAGGTGACAATGCTAACCACTGCACCACCGTGCCGCCCTCAATAATTATAAATATGTTATTAAAACACAGGCTTCTCTTATTTAATATGAATACATAAGATGTTAGGTATAAAACAGTGTGGTAGCATTGATGGAACAAAGCTCTTTTAAAAAGATAAATAAAAGCTGAGGGTGTAAATGTCAGGAGGAATAATTAATATAAAACACAGTCACTGTTCATGTGATTTTTATTTTTACCAGGAGCAGCATCATCAAATCGAATGTCAGACAGTCCGGTCCTAGACAAGTTCAGCTGCTCCAATCTGCAAACAAACATCATTATTTTAATTAAAGTCAATGTTTATAAAAAAAGAGAATATTTAAATAAAAACATAAAAATGCATTAATAATATTGTGTGTGTAATAGTGTGTGTAGTGTACCTGGGCAGAGCAGCCATAGTGAGCACACTGTGCTGCATCAAGGGGTTACAGGACAGATTGAGACTCTTGAGTGACTGCAGAGTTCCCTCAGGCCTTTAACACACACACACACACACACACACACGCACACGCACACGCACACACACACACACACACACACACACACACACACACACACACACACACACACACACACACACACACACACACACACAGTGAGCGCAGCCTGAACGTCACATCAGTCATGATGAGACAGGAAGTACACACTTCACCTCTGCAGCTCCGTGATGTTGTTCTCCTCGACACACAGATCCTCCAGCTGTGGCCACATGGGGGCGCACTCCAGGATCTGACCAGACACCAGCCGAGAGAAACATGTCAATAAACACGCCACAGATAACAGGAAGTATTTAATAAATACAAACAGGAAACCAGATCAGTTTGTTCACCGCACTTTGATTTTGACAGCTGACAGGAAAAAGACAAGTTTGTCAGTACGTCACATTTATCAACACGGAAAATATTTCTAAGGAGAACTATAAATGATTAAACCTTTATATTAACTATTTGAGTAAATAAAAAAAAAAACTAGAAATATAACAATGGATCAATAATATAAAAATGTAAATAACAATAACATTTATAATTTATATGAATAAATACTCTAGTAAATGACACATAACTTGAAATGACTTTAAGTGTTAAATTAATTGTTTTAAAATATGTATAAATTATGTAAGTAAAAATGTTAATTATAGAATTAAAAAGTAAATAATAAAAATTGTTTTTTATATTAATTTGTTTTTATTTTAATTTGTTTTTTATTTATTTTATATACTTTATTTGTAAATTCATAAATGCATATTTTGGAACCTCAAATAAATACAAAAATACAACATCAGTAAATATACAAAAATAAAAATAAAATAAATAACAGTAATATTAAAAAATCTTTTTAATTTTTACTTTTTTCATCATTTTTATTAATACATAATTATTGTATAAATAAATAAAACCATTATAATAAAAGATTTTTATGTCAAATTATTAAACACATATAAATTAACACTAAATAAATATTTCTTAAAAATAATACTGGTAATATACATTTCATTGCAATATAAAGCTTCTATATTCTGATTTAGATTTATTTCTTTATTTTACATAATTTATATTTTCTATAAAAACAATAAATAAATAATATACAAATAAAATATAAAGTATTTATAAATAGTGGTTATAAAAATATTGTTATACTCTGTTTATTCAATTATATATAATATTAATTATAAATATAATTTGTGTACAAATATTATATTAAGAAATTATAAATATCTGAGTATTAATAAAAACAACATATTTCCAGTCCTCTCCTGTGACAGTGGAGATGAAACACCCTCATGACGATGGGCAGACTGATGTGTACAGTCTGTGTGTGCAGTGTTATGAGCAGACAGGTGTACCTGCGGCCAGGTGAGGTCGCAGCTGTTGAGGGCGAGGACTTTGAGGCCGCAGAACGCCTGGCAGAGCGCCGACGGGTCAGAGGGCAAACGCAGTCTGTTGGAGCTGAGAAAATAAAACAAGAGGAAGCGTTCAGTGGAGGGAGAGGATGAGAAATCTCACACACACACACACACACACACACACACACAGTCAGAGTACCTGAGCTGTAGTCCCTCCAGTTTGTCCAGCTGCTGAGTGACAGCAGCCACGTCCTCCCAGCAGGACAGCAGAGTCCCACACAGGTCCAACCACCGCACATCTGATCACTGCTGTTAAAGCATCACTGTGTAACATTCACACGTTCAAACGTCTGAAAAGGACTAATGTTAGATACTCTGTTGAGTTGTGTACTTACATTATCCCAAATGTTTCTAACCTGAGAAATCCGTCGACAGCATCATACCCTCTTTACCGCCTCTAGTTCTCGGATATATAAAAAGAACTGGATGCAGCATTGGGGGCGGAGCTACATTCATCCCTGTGAAGGTTGCTCAGTGGTGCTTGACGCTAAAAATGTTCAACTTCCTGGCTTTTTGCTTGTTTTGTCCGACCAAAGCCCCAAAACCAAGAGTTACGCAGCTTGTTGTCACGTAAGGAATTTTGCTAAAACAAAACCTCAAAACAGTTGTAAATTTATTTCCTGCTGAGTAATGGAGCTGAATTTTGTTACGTTACCTTTATTAAATGTTGCTGTTGTCCCTGGCTTCATATGAGAAGGGGAAACGTTTGCTAGCTGCTAGGCTAATGTATACAATGTAAAATGCCATAGGCTTGTGCTAATAACGTTAGCATGTTGTATTTGTGGAGAAAATGTGTCCAGATAAAGACAAGTGATTGTCTGTGAATGCTGCGAGTTATAGTGAAGCTGATTTGTGTTTGAAACTGTCTCTATTAAGCCATGTTTAATGTGTGTTAAAAGTGTGTTTAAAGTGTGTTTAATGTGTGATTAATGTGTGTTTTGAATCAACTAAACTTTACAGCACTTCACAGAAACGCCGCTGCTGACTAGTGTTTTGGAGGTGTAACTGCAGAGTGACACAGACACACCACCGCACAAGTATAAATGCGAGGCCACGTGCGTAGGCTACAGCAAAGTGTCTGCTGCACAAGTATAAGTTCCCCTTAAAGCCCTGTTTCCACTGAGCAGTCTGGTTCAGTTCAGTTCAGTTCAGTTCAGTTCTTTTCAGTACGCTTTCTTCCTGTTCCCACAGTGAAAGTTGTGGATGGTACCAACAGAAGCGTTCCTCAGCGTCCCCATGTTTGGTCCCCCCTCTGTTGGGGTACCTAGCACACAGATCTGGTACTAAAAGGTGGAGCTGTGAACCCTGCAGTGTGATTGGTCAGTAGAGGACGCTCACTCTGGTTTTATGTAACCTCTGAGACAGAAATAGGCCTGGTAACAAGAAATGTTTTCAAATCAACGTCTAAAACATACACTGACACCAGAAAGTCATTTCTGTCCGTAAAAGGATACTTGGCGTTGTTTTCCTGATCTCTCCGTCGGGCCCCGGCCCGTTGACCTCACAGCGAGTCAGCAACACTGACGGAAGACTCTCAAAACTGTTGAGACAAAAACAGATGGACAGTGGAATCAATCATATGAAACAGATCCTCACACTCTGACCTATCTATTAATGTGACCTCTCCAGTTACATAGATGATCCATGATCTTTTAACTTATGGTGTCGATGCTGTGATGTGAATTCTGCAATTAAAGCCTGGAGCCTATCCCAGCTGACACTGGGTAAGAGGCAGGGTTCCCCCTGGACAGGTCACCAGACTATCACAGGGCTGACACATAAGCCCCTTTTACACTGCCAGATTTTTGGTGAATGTTGGGCCGTTTTGCTGGCAAGCTGCGAGCGTTTAGACACACAGAGCCGGATTGGCGAGTTGATCCTAGGTGCCCAATTTTCCGCCTCGTAGGGTAGATGTATTGGTGGAACCTTTTTGGTTTAAACAGAACGAGGCGGCCTTCCGCCACGGGAGGGGCTGTTGAAGACTTGTGGGAGGAACTGCTGATGACGCCGCATGTGCGACCCACTGGTGGTGGTGTTTTTATACTGCCAATGCTGAAAAAAGACTGATTGGGCTTTCCTGCAAATTTGCACAACTCCTGTTTAAAAAGGGCTGAAGAGACAGACAACCATTCACACTCACATTCACACCTACGGACAATTTAGAATCACCAATTAACCTGCATGTCTTTGGACTGTGGGAGGAAGCTGGAGCACCTGGAGGACAGAGGACAAAGGACAGACAGAAACTGGACAGGAATGTCAGAACAGCAGAGAAGATCATTAGTGTGCTGCTGTCATGTCTGTTGGACGTTTACAGCCAGAGGTGAATCCGCAGAGCAGACAGCATAGTGAAGGACTCCTCTCTTCCCTCCCACAGTTTCTTCTCTCTCCTGCCGTCAAGGAGACGTTCAGGAGCATCTGCTGCAGGACGACACGTCTGAGCAACAGTTTTTATCCTTCAGCAACTGTTGAACTGTAGCAGACATGAACTCACCCGGTCACTTTATTGGCCTTTTAATCAGCTTCTATTTTAAATGTATTTATTTACTAGTTGATTACTGCACAGAGAACTTTTAATTTTGTCGGTTTTAGATATGAAGCAGTGTCTTGTTTTTATGTTTTATCATTAAAATGACAATAAAAGGAATCTGAATCTGCAGCTGCTCCGCACCCTGAATATGAAGACGGGCAGCAGTATGAACTCTCAGATCACCTCCCTGCAGAGGTTAAATCAGATCGTACGGCTGTCTGATGAGCATCGTACCTGCGCTCCTTGATCCTCCCCCACTTGAGCTTCTTGGAGGAGGAGATGGAGATGTCCTCGCTCAGCACCTCCTCTGAGTCGATCTCGTACAGCTGTTGCACAGCGGTCAGGTAGTCCACGCCGAAGCTCACCTTCGCTGGACGGACGAAGGAGCCTCCTTTAGGGTGTCTGAGGCGGTGCAGAGAAACCCATCAGGGACATTTACTCATTTCACATCACACCTGACTTTTTAAGATAAAAATTAAAGGATTATTTTCCTTGTTGATTCTTATTCTACATGTTGAATCCATACAATGTCAAAAAACAAGAGCATCACTTGTCATATTTGAGGAGGAACTAAACTGTTGTCATATAATCAGCATTCAGAAAATATGCATATGTTGTGTTGTCAGAAGTATTTTCATCACCACAGGAATCATCCAGAGGAGTCAATGAAAAGCTCTGATGATGAACCGCACGGGGACGCTGGAACTTATGTGACTGGATTATAACTTTCCAAATTTCAGCCTGTGGTTTAAGGAGGCGTTACAGTGACAGTAACCTGCATGTGAAGTACTGGACTCCCTCATGGCTGCCGTCGTGTTTGCCTCTCTCTGGGTTATCCCACTCGACACCGAGCCACAGCCCTGAAACACAAAACAAAAACACGTGGTTAATGTTAAACGGTCCTGTCTTTTTGGGGTGTGCCACATCATCAACTACATATAAACATGTAATTATGCATATTATTAACATATAATCACATTGCACTGTTGGAGGCAGACTGTGACCCCAGATTTCCTTCTTCTTTTGTCTTTTATTTGATATTAAATAACTTTAAAATCCTGACTCTTAGAAAAGTTTGACTGAAAGACTTCAACTTGTCTCACAGTTTGTCTGTTCTGCAGTGCTGCATCTTTAGCTTCAGTAAAAGACCCGTGTACTTCCTCCACCTCTGTCACTGTGTGAGCGGGTGTGAAACGTCCATGATGTGATGTGACACCTCCCGGGTCTTTACGTACCTGTTGTCGGTGGCACCGCGCCCACATACCGCACCGTGGCCCGCTCCCCGTCGCAGGACACCCGCCTGCCCACCGCGTCCTCCGGTACCTCCGGCTCGGTCTGGTCCACTCCCATCGAAGGCTCCTTCTGTATCAGTGAACCACAACGTTATCTCAGCTGACTGTTTTCTACAGTTTACGCTTCAAATGTAAAAATAACAAATATGAAAATACTAAAAATAATAACTGACATTAAAATAATAAAGATAAACTCACCCGAGGCGTTTATGTTAAAGCTTTAGAGGGGTTTTAGCTCCTGAGCTAACGTTAGCTATCAACCCAAAACATATGACGTCTTCGCTAACCGGAAGGGACACATTTGGAAGTTGCACTTATTGGGATTATAAAAACTTTTCAAAATAAAACCACAAACTGTATAAAACTGACGATAAATGTGCGTTATATTAAATATTCATATCTTTTTAGTACTCCATATTAAACTCCCACTATTCTAAAACTAAATTGTTAAGTTCAGCGTTTTTTTAATTGATCGTATTTCAAATATAACAGCACACTGAAGAGACACATGTATATTTGTTTATTTAACACTTAAATTCATCATTTCAACATCACTTGTGAAACGAAAACATCAAACGTGACACAAGAAAAGCACATAAAATAAAAACGGACATCATTAAATTAAACTGTACGAAGGAGCAGTAAACCTAGACAAAATACAACTCATTTATTTTATTAGATATATTTTCCCGATGATTTAAGAGATCTTAACTGATTTATTGTTCGTTGTTTTTTTAGAAACAGACTCACAGAGATCGTTAATTGAGTCTAAAATTTAAAAGGAACTATTGTGCCGCTGTGACCGTGTTCCCCGTGGGACATAATTCGCAGTAGGACGAGCTGTGTGTTAAGGGAGAAAACGTGTGAACGTGCTGTAACGTTAGATCTCGTGTTATTGGAGTTAAACGTTGTATAAATTAATTAAATGCTGCAGCTAACCTGATCGATTATACAGATATACAGAACAAACCGGAAGTCAGTCTCGGAGTGACGCTGGAATAACCCGGAGGAAACCATGAAGAAGAAACTTCAGCAGAGGTTTGTTTACACAGATTTATGACCTGAATCCAGATAATCTGCTCTTTACTCTGACTGCGGGTTCTTTAATAACAGCAGACACGGTGCAGCACACAGAGCCTCCGTCAGCTCTGATATAACTGTTTGTTTATATCAACCCACCTACATGCATGACACATGTCAGCCCTCTGCTGTGGAGGCATGATACATGTCAGATACATGTTTTTTAGGGACTGTTCTTTACTTACCAGAGGAGGAGGTGGCTGTGGTGTGAGCTTTTTTTGTGTGTGTTTTTGTTGTTGTTTTAAGGGACTGTTCCGTACATATCAGAGGAGAGTTGGTTGGATTATCACTTCTTGTTTTTTTAGGGACTGTTCTTTACTCACCAGAGATGGAGGCTTTTTGTTGACCAGCTATTAAAAAAAGAGATAATTGTTTTCGGGGTGCTGTACCATCTTCACTTCCATGTTTCTGTCCTCAGTGAAGAGGCGTCTCCGGGGCAACCGCCAGCTGACTATGTGGTGGGTCAGGTGTCTGGAAGTTTGTCCCAGAAGAAGTCCGCAGCCTCCGGATCACTGTCGGCTTTGTTCAGCACCGCTGCACCAGCTGCACCTCTTCTGTTTCAGCCTGCGCCCAAGGTAACGCCAACACAAGGTTTCACCACTGTTGGTCTGATTATCACCCGACTGATTATTTGTTTCTATGGCAGCCTGTTAAGAAGAGCACAGAGCAGCAGACAGAAACTCCAGAGGTCAAAGGTCAACCCAGCCAGAAGAAGAAGAAGAAGGAGAAGCCGCTGAAGGAAAAATCAGAAGCTCAACAGAAGCTGGAAAACAGGTGAAGAGTTCAGACACACGTTCTTCATCACTGTTGTTACCTTCAAGGGTTTGTCGTCTAAATGAGTTTTTTTTACCCGTCAGAGAAAAGTCTGAGCGCTTTAATGGAGCGCTTCACCGCTGTTAAGAAATGTTTAGCTTATAATTTTCTGCAGATAAACTCAGACAGGACAGAAGTAGTAATCTTTGGCTCTGAACACTTATCGAGGAAACAACAACCCTTGATTGCTCCTCTGGTGACAAATATAAAATCTACAGTGATAAATTTAGGCATCTTTTGATTCGCAGTTGAACTTTGAACCTCACGTCAATAATCTGATTAAATCCTGCGACTTCCACCTGAGAAATATTATCAAAATGATATCAGCTGTGTCTTTTCCTGACCTGGAAATGTTTTTATTTATTTATTTACTTCTCGCACCTCGACTACAGTAACACGCCGTTCACAGGCCTCAGTAACTCGTCAGCAGCTCGGCTTCGACTGGTGCAGAACGCTGCAGCTCGTATTTGAACTTCTACAAATCGTAGGTCACGTGTCAGCCCGATTCTCGCCTCCCTCCACTGGTCGCCAGTTAACATCAGAATTGATTTTAAGATTCTTTTGATAACCGTTAAAGCTCAACATGGTGTAGCATAGCTGAGCTTCTGACTACCTACGCTTCGAGTCGTGACCTGAGATCCTCGGGCGCACCCTCACTAGTCGTCCCTCGGTCAAAGCTGGTAACAAAAGGTGACCGGGCTTTTGCAGTCGAGGCCCCGAAGCTCTGGAGGTCTCTGCCTGAGGAGATCAGGCTGGTGAAGACATTACCTGATTTTTTGTTGTCTTATTTCTGTGCACTTTGTGAAGCACTTTGTAACCTTGTTTAGATAAGTGCTATACAAATAAATATTATTATTAATATTATTCTTATTATTATTATTATTATGTTCTAATGTCCCTCTTCTTCTCTCGTCCCTTCAGGGAGATCAGTTTACAGAACGCAGACGAGGCCGAGGGAGGGCAGCAGGCGCCTGGGCAGAGTAAGAATAAGAAGAGGAAAGCTCCGGAGGCGGGCGGAGGGAACGAGCAGTGGGTGATGAAGAGGCAAAGGATGAGAGCCAGAAAAGAGGAGGAGGTGATAAAGAGGAAGAGGACGGTGTTCGTGGGCAACCTGCCCGTCAGCTGCACCAGGAAGGTACACAGAGGACACGCGTTTTGGTTTATGTTTTCGGGTTGTCTCTACGTACGTATGTATGTCTCATTCTTGTGAATGCAATATCTTAAAAACACCGCAAGGGAATTTCTTCACAAAATCCACAACACATATTTTCCTCTCACCTGTACAGCTGTTTATCAGGCTAGATAGTTTTGGTGTGAGTTGGTGAGTGTTGGAGATATCAGCCGTGGAGGTGTCTGTCTTCTCTCCAGTATAACAGAACTAGATGTCACTCAGCTTGTGGTGCTCGAAGTGCCAAAAACACTCAAAACTCAACAGCAAAGTCTCTTTCCAGAAATCCAGACCTGGGGCCTCATTTATAAGAGTGCTTAGGATTCATACTAAAAGTCGACGTGCGCCCAAAAGCTGAAAATGGTGTGCGCCAAAAAATAATCTGATTTATAAAACCGTGCGCACGCACACTTGCACACAATGTTATCTTAATAAATCACAGACCTCCTGGAGTTGTGCACACCCAGATCAGCCTCATATTCAGCCCTCTACACGCCCTAGTTCAACCATAAATGGTCATGCAAATCACCTCATGAATGCGATCTGCATATAAATAAGCCGGCATGCGAGTGTTCTCTCGTTGTGAGTCACAGCGACAGGTGTGAGAAATGAACCAAAAAACGGAATTTCTCCAAGACTGAGCTCGAGACCCTTTAACAGGAGGTGGAGGACTGAAGAAAGATTTTATTTGGTGGCCACAGCAGCGGGATCACTAATAAGAGAAAGTGAAATAAAGTGGCAACACATCAGCGCTGCTGATGCCGTCAGCTGTGTCTGTGGGACTGCACGGACAGTGACAGAACAAAAAAAAAAAAGTGGTCTGATCTAAAGGTAGACCAAATATTTCTACTCCTTTACCAACATGTAGTTAATGTGTTGCTTTTAAATTTGAGGATGTTTGACATTGATGTGCGACATAAAGAATCACATTTATTAAAGGTGGAGGCAAAAAGGAGGATGTGCCAGTGCCATCTTGCACAATTACGCACGAGGGTCACCGCAGTATTTATATGTTTATGGCAATTAGTCTGATCAGACACCCGGCCTGAATTACAGCATGAACCAGTGGTAACCCTGTCCCAAAATACAACGTGTAATTTGAAATACAATTCAAAGATGAAAGTGT